TCTCTCTCTCTCTCTCTCTCTCTCTCTCTCTCTCTTGAATACAATTAACTCACAATTAAATTATGAGTTGTGAGTTAATCATTGTTTTAAAAATAAACACACTTCTAATTCTCAAATTTATAATAATCACAATTAAATAACATAATAAATCAATTAATAGTTATAAACGAAATATATAAATAAATTGTTAGATATTATGACAATCGCACGAATCGGTTGATGTCTGGACAAGAATTACCGTATAATTCATTACAAACGTAAATACCTGTCATTTAAATAATAACGTATTTGTTAGTAAAGTTATAAAATCTACAGAATTTAAATGAAATAATTTTATAATCATGATTTTGTAAATTTAAATTAAACTAATAAAATAACTAATAACAAATTAATACTAAACTGCAATTAGCGTTGATTTATTCAATTTAGCAAAACCACCGATACTTATGCCCACAGATTGTGTATTTCTGGTTATTCTCTTCAATACAGTCCACTCTCGGTATTCATTGCCCGACAAATCCCTCTCCGATACCAATCCATCCAAAACATCACTCAATGTCTGACAACTACTTTCAATGAGACCACAGAAATAGCAGCACATTATGAACTGAGCGATACTACATATGCCGGCCACACATAGCAGGTATATATACGGCCGAAGCAATGGTAGTCTCTGGGCGTTTGTGAACGTATAGATACCGGCCATCACATCAGATATGGACAATAATGTATATATGGCTAACAGTGACCGCCATTCTCCGTCCATATACCCCACCATTTGCTGTACGTTTAGATACAGTTGTCTCGTCTGTCGTAGTTTTGCCACTGATTTTCCGATTCCCTTAACTATTGCATTGAAATATGTATTAAAAATTAAGTTAACGCATACATATTTTTTTACCCTAATCATATGTGACATATATTTGATTTATCAAAAGTTTTACCTGACCAATTCTTGAGCAGTATTTCGTGGTTGCAATTCAATTCATTACATGCAATATCTAAGAGTTTAGATAAACAAATAGATATGAATGAAATACTGAATGGTATATGTCAATTGGTCTATTGACATAACATCTTTATTTGTTACGGTTAATCAGCGGTTAATTACGGTTATTAATACGTCAATTATTAACGATGCTGGGTATTCTAATGTTACATATGTTACCAATATGACTTGAGCATGAGCATATTTCCTGTTTGCATATCATACGGAATAATTGGGAATTTAGTATAAAACATTTTAAACACGTTAAATGTTTTCCAATTGACATAATACAGAGTGACCAACATTACCAGCCCATGTACCGTGTTCAAAATTAAATAACCAATAGTAGACCGAGATATCTCTTGTTCAATCGAAATGTGAGCAGATACAAATGGACCACTGCTCATAATTACCAAGATAATTATCATGGTAATGATATTACCGTATGATTTCCATCGTTTATTGCATTTTACGATCACTCCCTTGTTTACCACGTTCTCCAACTCTAAACCGCCAAATGTTATGCCATTTATGCGAAAAAAATAAATAAATATATTTGTTATCATAATTACTACTGGTTGACCGTCAACATTTATTAACTCTAACATGGTTACTTAACAATAATTACAAATATAATAGCACTTATACTCTTAATAATGTTTAGATTCTGAAATATTTATGAGGTTTATGTTTAAATTAAGGTTAGTTTTAGTTAAATATTTTATTTGAATAAAAATAATGTCAATAGACATGTAATATGAATATTAATATTGATTAATTAAAACAATAGTACATATTATTTTATTGTATTTTTCTACTTACTTTTCTTATCTAATATGACAAATATTATTTAATGTTAAAATTAGTCATTATGTATTTTTAATATAAATAATACAGTACATATGAGAGCTAGGCGATCATGGGGAACCTAGCAGCTAATGTATTTCCTATGGACAATGAGCAGTAGTTATAACTCAAAAAGTACTGGACCAATTTTGACAATTTATATATAAAATTGTACACAATGAAATTAATTTCAAGACCTATATCAGGATTTTTCTTATAAATGAGAAGAATCAGACTATACTCATATTTAAGAGGTAAATATACAATAATTTAAAGCCTTGCTATTTAAAAACTACTGATTCAATTTTAATTATTAGTATATCAAATTAGTCATAATTGAAAGTAGAAAAATATAATTTTGTAGTTTTTAAAAATTCCAATCGTAAAGATATTTAGAACTTATTTTCTAATTTTATGTGCAAAACTAAGGCTTAAAATTAAAATATTGAAATTCAAAAAAATTATATTATCATATTTTTAATTTGAATTAATTTAATGTACTGATAATTAAAATTGAATTAGTATTTTGTAAATGGCAAGGCTTTAAAATATTATATTTTTACTTAAAAAATATGAGTATACTTTGATTCTTCACATTTATTGAAAAAATCCTGATATTGGTCTCAAATCAAATTTCATTCTGTACAATTTGATATATAAATTGTCAAAATTGGTCCAGTACTTTTTGAGTTATAACTACTGCTCATTGTCCATAGGAAATACATTAGCTGCTAGGTTCCCCTTGATCGCCTAGCTCTCATATTTTATATTAATTGGTCACGCTAGCTAAAATGCCATGTAACCAATATGACAATGTTAACATTAACCTTGCTAAATTGTGTTAGAAATTATTGTGTAATAAAGTATATAATATATACTAAGAGATTCCCAGGTGCGATTTATGTGCATTTTTACTATGTGAACTTGCATGAGTTTACATTAAATCATAGGTTCTCTGGAAGCTCCTAATAAATCAAAGTTTAAATACCAAATATATTTTGGCAAACATAGTAATAAATAATTAATTTAATAAATGCAACAATTGATTGTAATTTCTAAATAAATCTAATTGTAATACAATTTCTAATACAATTGTACGAATAAATTACAAAACATATAAAAATAAATTTAAACATAATATTTATCATTATTAATATTATAAATGTATTTTTTACAGAAGATATAGGGATTTTGATTTCAATTTAAAAAGCCATTAAAATATATTTGTAATAAGGGGTGTTTCACATAGTACGTTTGCACTATAAACTTTATATGCTATTAAAAACACCCTGTAAATAACAATCATGACCAAGCTATAGTAAATTATTTGTATAATGATTAAGCATTTCAATGTCTTACTAAACTTTTATAGTTTAAAGTTAGAATTTGATCAAGCTTGTACATTACTACAATACAATCTAGTTGGTCATTTATATACGTCTTTATACACTTCTAAACACAATATGAATATCAATGCAAAAACATATAATGAAGTAAATAAACTGCAAACCATTGATGGAAATGAACTATTGGACAAAATTATCGCCAACGATGCACATAAGTATTGATAAACATTTAAATAACAATAGCATTAAAATTTATACATTGCTTTAATAGTTAAAATAATTTTGTCTTTTTAAAAAACATTTACAATAAAAATTTTTAACGAATCTAAAGAAATCTCAATTCAAATATTACTTACCTGTTAATAGCATAAGAAACTAAAGTGTAAATTTAAGAATACTATTAATAATACTTATTTTTACATATTATTATATAAATAATATATTAAGTTTATATAATTTAAATACATATATAACTGGTTATCTGTTAATAAAGGCAATACGATATAGTGCTGGACATCGGGTGCGGATCCGGGAATATAACACAAACATTGGCCGATGTATTGAATGCCAAACAAATCTATGCCATAGATGTGGACAAAGAGATGATTGCATTTGCCGTTCAAAATCACGACAAACGCAACGTTCAGTATTTGGTCCAAGATTTTGGCCTCGAGTGGCATCTGCTGTCACCGACACTGCGGGCACTGGAGGGCAAAGTGGACCTCATATTCACTAACCATTGTCTCCATTGGATTCAGGATAAGGAGAATGCGGTGAACAATATGTGTCGACTGATGAGTGCCGGCAGTCGACTATACGCTAACATATCATTAGTTTCAGATCCCTATCAAGAGTTGTCGACCGAAGCGAAACTCATTCACGAAATACGGTTTATGAAAATACCGACACGAGAGACACAAATCGACATTTGGCTCAAACTCTTCGCTCGATTCGCTTTAACCGTCGATTCACACGAAGTGATGAACAAAAGCTCAAGCATTGAAACTCAAGCATTCAATAAACGTATGATTTATGCACTTTAATTCAAATAACATATTATGTTAATAAGTAATCTCTCTCTCTCTCTCTCTCTCTCTCTCTCTCTCAGTTGCATTACCGTTGAGTATAACGATGTGGAAACAGTATTTCGTTGACTACGATCGAGATATCGGTATAATTGGTCCGCAAATTCAGTCCAAAGCTATGGCCAAAACAAGTGATAAAATGATTGAATTTAAATACGAATTCATTCAGTTTGTTATTACTAAATAAATTATCAGTAATTTATGCTTATCTAAAACATACATTTTAAAATGGCTTGACACAATTTAATAAATATAAAGTTTATTTAAGATAGAAATGTGAGCGAGAAATTTTATATAATATTAATTGATCATTCTAGTATAAATGCCCTAAAAATAAAAACCTACAATATATGACAATGTTGACATTACTTTTGCTAAATTGTGTTAAAAATTATAATAAAATTTATATCAATTAAAAATAAAATTATACAATCTAGCATGTTTTAGTGTCACTGACATGCTTAACCTGTACTTAATAAAGGTAACTAACATACAGCACCTGGATTATATTGCATGACTATTACTTAATTGGCACATGTGAATAGTTATGATTTATAAAATTTTATTTATATAATTGTAAACATCGTTTGTTTTAAGGGCAAAATGATTGGTATTTCAACCATCGCTTACCAACTATTGTCTGTCGCGTGGATCACAAGCCATAGGCAAGTCATACACGACAACACCTGTGGCCGCACTCAATGGCACTCAAGCTATGACTTTATTATAGTCGGCGGCGGGACTGCCGGCGCAGTTGTGGCCAACAAACTGAGTTCAAGCCATTCAACAGTGCTGTTACTGGAAGCCGGGGGCTCACAAAGTGCCACATATAATGATATACCAGGTTTAGCACTAAAGGGAAACGCAATGAATGTTAACGAATGGGTATATTATAATAAACCACATGATCATTATGGCCAACAGTACGCCGGGGGTCGAGTGCCGGAGAATAGGGGCAAAACATTGGGCGGCTGTTCGGCGCATAACGGCGTGCAATACAATCGGGGTAATCGTCGCGGGTATGACGACTGGGCCCAGACGTACGGCGCCCGCGGATGGAGTTATGCGGATGTGTTGCCGGTGTTCAAAGAGTGGGAAAATAATACCGATCCGTATATTGTGGACAGTAATCCCGGATATCACGGCACCGGCGGACCCATTCAGATATCATCGCAACCTTACAACCCATTTATCTATGCATTGAAGAGTGCGTTAATAGACTCCGGGTTTGTGTACACAGATATGAATGGTCCGATACAGGAGGGAGTTATGGTTAACCAACAGTATATATCGGCTGAGCGTTTCAGAGTGGGAACGGGCGGTGTGTTTGTCGACCCGAACCCATATCCAGATAACCTGCATATAGTGTGCAAAGCATTGGTCACTAAAATACTGTTCAATGGGTTGTAAGGTTGCGATGATATCTGAATGGGTCCGCCGGTGCCGTGATATCCGGGATTACTGTCCACAAT